ACCTACAGCTTTCAAAAATGTCGGATTTGTTGGCGATTTTTACCTATTTTTAGATCATAAACTTTTTCTCAGCTCAAAATCCTTCAGTTGTCTTAAAAAACAAATTATATTCGTTAACTCTGCTCCGCTTTAGCTCCTCTCGCTCTGATTGGTCAAAGCGATCACGTGACACACGAGCGCGCGCACCGTGCATTCGCTTGTGCCCGTGGGAGAAAAGAGCACTAGTGCGCATGCTCGGTCGGCCCACAGCCGCCGGAAGTACCTAGCCGGGCTAGGCTAATCTGGGATCATGCGCCATTGAGCTCAGCCCATTGACTTGAATGGGCGGCCATTTTGGAACCTGGGGGCTTGGTTCTGACGTACTGCTGCACATCACGGTACGGAGCTGCACAGCTGCTGAAAAGAAGGACCTGCAGCGAGTGGTGAGAACAGCTGAAAAGGTGGTGGGCTCCTCACTCCCGAACCTGGCCTCCGTCTACTCTTCACGTCTCCACACACGGGCCTCCAACATTCTGCAGGACCCACACACCCTGGGAACTGCCTCCTCCACACTCTCCCCTCAGGAAGACTTCAAACTCCCCTCACACGCACAAACAGACTACACAACAGCTTCTACCCACGAGCAGTGGACGTGCTCCAGGGCCACAGGCACAGCTACAAGACCTGAAGGGACTCAGTGCAATGATCTGTTTATTTTATCTATCAAATGTTTTTTTATTGGTATGGATGTGAGGATGTGTCTATATTTGTTCATTTTTACTGCTACAGATTTGCTCTGTCAAAGTTTCGTTGTATTTCATACAATGACAATTAATCTATCTATCTTTTTGGGGAAATTTATTTAATGAGATCAGAGACCAGGAAGTAACATTTTATCTTAAAGTCAAGTTATAGTAATAAAAATAGAAGAGAGAACAACAGACTGTTAACGTCACATATGAACAGTTCTTCAGATAAACTATAACATAAACAACAGAACAGAACAAGTTTAACAAACTCTCCATCTCACTCCAAATCACTAAATCCATTCAATTCTTCATCCTCGGTGTCACTTCTGAACAACTCCTCGACCTCCGGAGGTAAACAGAGCGACGCTTCCTCTTCTGTGTCGCTGTCGTCAGACTCAGCATCAGTTCCAGTTAGAATTATTCCGGCCTTTCTGAATCCCGACAGGATGTCAAAGTCCAGACTGTCCATCCATCCAGTGACTTCAGGAAAGTTTCATGGTGCATCCTCCCGGTGTCACAAGTTTCTCTCTCACTCCAAACTTTCTTTCTGCTGCTCGATTATCGTTTTCAGCTGCAGATTTCACGACTTGCAGTTTGTAATCTACAAAATCTGATTTTCTTTCTGGGGGCGTTTGTGTTCAGTCTTCTCAGTGTCTTTATAAGTTTGTTTAAATGTTAAATTGTTCAGTGGTGCAGAAGTAATGGTTTGATCGACTGACATGATACAGACAGGACAGAGGCTCTTTCTGCAGGAGACATGCGCAGTAGAGCCAAGTGACAGTGGTACAGGAGGAACAGGAGCAGCAGATACTCACACACAAGACTAGAACCTCTCCACGCTTCACTGTGAACATGTTAATATATAAGTCGCAGGAAACACCCAAACACGGTACATACAGAAGACGTCAAATATATGAAGTACGATATATGAAATTATGTAGCAAAAAAGGTAAATAACTCAACTATTTAAAGGTCTTATATAAACTTTAGTGTAAAATGTTTTCTCCTCATTAAAAACTACCTGGAGGTTTGTTTTGTTTCATTCTGTAATCCTGCAGCTTCAGACGGTCTCTTCAGAGCTCTAAACCTGCCTCCCACTGGTCCACAGAATCCATTAACGTCTCCGAGCTTGTTCTGATCATTTTAGTGTTGACATCGCCTCCATTTAGCAGCAAACAAATCCTCAGTGCTCCAGCAGAGGGCGCAAGACTGAAGTATACATACAGACACCACAGACTCATTATTTTATGTTCTATAGTCTATAATTATAAGTAGAAGCTTGAATAATGGTTAAAGCAGGGCCGTCGACAGAAATTTGGGGGCCCAGGGGCAAGAGGTCTCACATGGGGCCCCCCTCTAATATAAATGAATAAAAAGAGAATCAAATTCTGAACACTAAAACCCTGCCTGTCTACTGCGCGTTAAAGCTGCATGGTGTAACTTTTCTGGTTGGATCTGCCACCGATTACACCAACTTAAAGGGTGTATGACAGGTTCTGATGATTCTATTTATTATTTATTTTATTATTATTATTATTATGTTTATTTATTTCGGACAGTAATACATAGAACATAAATTAAACAAGGTGGAACAGATATGGAAGATTATTTGTTTAATCAGATTTGGATTTTTTTTTTTTTATTCTGAATTTGAAACATATTGAAAATGTACACTTAAAATTGCTTAAAAAATCAGCAAGTTAAATTCAATACAAAAATAATTCAAACATGTTTTCTCACTCGGAGTTAAAAAATTCCAAGTGAGAAATTCGATTGTATTTAAAATTCAAAATATAATGAAACAAATGATCGTCCATAAACAGCATTTTGAGTTTTGGAGACGTAAACAAACGAATACTAAAGAATTATTAAAAATGTGTGAATGAAACAAAACACAACTCCACTTACGTTTGTTTGGAAATAAAATTATAACACGACTTAAAGCTCACGAGAGTCCATTTTGCATAATATGGGACCTTTAAAGTTCTTTTTACAACAATCACGATTTGGGAGTTGAATTCTGGCACCACTTTCTGAAGCTGTTGTGAAAAAAATACTCCACTTTTGTTGGTTTCTACTGACAGAGACGACGCTGAACTTCATGTCAGTTTTAGTTTCGTGTGGACAAGTCCGAGAATTACAGAGATATGAACCATAAACCAGGTCGAGAATGTGGATTTTTTGGATTTCTGACCCGTTTCCAGCTCAGTTTAAACAAAAGAAATTTGAGAATGTTTTTTCACGAACGCAGCCTCTCGAGTAGCATATTCAGACGGCTCCAAGTTCACGTTTGAGCCGCTGTTTTTGTCCCTCTAAAATGCAGAAGTTTAGGCCTTTCACACCAAAAACTAAAATAAATTCTATCTCCTACCTCTGTTCCGAACGCCAAATGGATCTGTTCTGAAAATGAAATTGATGGTGGAGTGAAATGGTTGTTTTTTTTCGAAGAAGTGGAAAATGTTCTAAAAATAAAGCTTGGACCAAAATTAGAATTATAAAAAAAGTTGGTTGAACGTTTTAGGATCAGAAAAAGTAAAAAATGCATTTGTTTTTCAAAATAAAACCAAAAGTAGCCTAAGGAAATGAAAAAACAGCTAGGACTAAACCAGGTCTAAACCAGGTCTAAATCAGGACTAAACCAGGACTGAACCAGGACTGAACCAGGACTAATCTTGGACTTGAGAGAGGGAAAACCCTGAACCCCTTTCGCCTGGGCTACGTGGGCAAACCTGCAGGCCCATCCCGACATTTAGTCCTGGTTTAGTCCTGTTTTAGTCCTGCTGGTTCAGTCCTAGGTTTACTCCTGGTTTAGTCCGAGTTTCAGTCCTGGTTGTGTCCTGGGTTCAATCCTGGTTCAGTACTGGTTAAGTCCTAATAGAGTCCTTGGATCAGTCCTGGGATCAGCCCTGGTTTAGACCTGATTTAGACCTGGTTTAGTCCTGTTTTAGTCCTGCGTTAAACCTGGTTTAGTTCTGGTTCAGTCCTGGTTTAGTCCAGTCCAGGTTTAGTCCTGGTTTAGTCCTGGTTTAGTCCAGGTTTAGTCCTGGTTTAGTCCAGGTTTAGTCCTGGTTTAGTCCTGGTTCAGTCCTGGTTTAGTCCTGGTTCAGTCCTGGTTTAGTCCTGGTTCAGTCCAGGTTTAGTCCAGGTTTAGTCCAGGTTCAGTCCTGGTTTAGTCCAGGTTTAGTCCAGGTTTAGTCCAGGTTTAGTCCAGGTTTAGTCCAGGTTTAGTCCAGGTTTCAGTCCTGGTTTAGTCCAGGTTTAGTCCAGGTTCAGTCCAGGTTTAGTCCAGGTTTAGTCCAGTTTTAGTCCTGGTTTAGTCCAGGTTCAGTCCAGGTTTAGTCCAGGTTTAGTCCTGGTTTAGTCCTGGTTCAGTCCAGGTTTAGTCCAGGTTTAGTCCAGGTTTAGTCCAGGTTTAGTCCAGGTTTAGTCCAGGTTCAGTCCTGGTTTAGTCCAGGTTTAGTCCAGGTTTAGTCCAGGTTTAGTCCAGGTTCAGTCCTGGTTTAGTCCAGTTTAGTTCCAGGTTTAGTCCAGGTTTAGTCCAGGTTTAGTCCTGGTTTAGTCCAGGTTTAGTCCAGGTTTAGTCCTGGTTTAGTCCAGGTTTAGTCCAGGTTTAGTCCAGGTTTCGTCTACACTCTGTCTACAATTTCTACAACTACTGGAATAAAAATGCTGAATTACTGCTGTATTATTATTGTTATGCTTTGTTGTTGCTGCCGAACAATGGATTTCCTTCAGGATCCGTAAAGCATCTGTCCACTTCTACTACTTCTACTGCTACTACTACCACTACTACGACTATTACTACGATGACAACTACAACTACTACTACTACTACTACTGGAAAAAATTCTGAATTACTGCTGTATTATTGTTGTTATGCTTCATTGTTGCTGTCGAAAAATGGATTTCCTTCGGATCAGTAAAGTATTTATCTACTACTACAACTTGTACTGCTACTACTATGACTACTACTACTACTACTACTACCACTACTACTATGACTACTCCTACTACTACTGGAAAAATGATGAATTACTGCTGTATTATTGTTGTTAAGCTTCATTGTCGCTGCCGAAAAATGGATTTCCTTTGGGATCCGTAAAGTATCTGTCCACTACTACTACTTCTACTGCTACTACTACGACTACTACTACTACTACTACTACTAGCACCGTATTGCACCGTGTAGTCTCTTGGTGTGAAAGGCCTATCTGAAAATAAAAATCGTCCCTTTTTGAGGTGGTAGAGTCTTTACGTTGGACTCGGGCTCCGTCAGTCTGTGTCTGGTCGTGGAGGTAGTACAGGGTCCTGGTCCTGGTCCTGGTCCCGGTCCCGGTCCCGGTCCTGGTCCGGGAGGGGGGTCCGGGGCGATGTTTCCGGGATGAGGGTGGTGACCTGCGGGGGTCTGGAAGGCTGGAGGATTTGCGGGTCGGGTTCTTGATCCAGTTTTCCGCAGGACTGGCAGCAGAGTTTGTTGTATCCGGGAATGGAGCAGTAGCGCGTGAGGACGTCCATCTGGCAGAAGATTGAAGTGTCTTTTTCACACAGTTTTTCTACAAAAAAAGGAAAATATAAGATTAGAAAATTCGTGTATTGTTTGTTCATCGTTTTTTTTAAATAAAACCAAAAATAAGAACACGAAAAAAACAACAATTTTCTTCATTATTCGTCTCCAAAACCAAAATGAAAAAACGAATAACAATTTGATTTTTTGGCAGTTTTTGATTTTGTGTTTAAATGAAAAATGGAAAAAACAGATAAAGTCTGTTTCCCGTTTCCGTGAACCAGACTGAACCAGGACTAAACCAGGACTAAAACAGGACTAAACCAGGACTAAACCAGGACTAAACCAGGACTGAACCAGGACTAAACCAGGACTAAACCAGGAACTAACCAGGACTAAACCAGGACTAAAACTAGGACTGAACCAGGACTAAAACCAGGACTAAACCAGGACTAAAACAGGACTGAACCAGAACTAACCAGGACTAAACAGGACTGAAACCCAGGACTAAACCAGGACTAAACCAGGACTGAACCAGAAAACTAAACCAGGACTAAACCAGGACTAAACCAGGACTGAACCAGGACTAAACAGGACTAAACCAGGACTAAACCAGGACTAAACCAGGACTAACCAGGACTAAACAGGACTGAACCAGGACTAAACCAGGACTAGGACTAAAACCAGGACTAAACCAGGACTAAACCAGGACTAACCAGGACTGAACCAGGACTAAACCAGGACTGAACCAGGACTAAACCAGGACTAAACCAGGACTGAACCAGAACTAAACCAGGACTAAACCAGGACTAAAACAGGACTGAACCAGGACTAAACCAGGACTAAACCAGGACTGAACCAGAACTAAACCAGGACTAAACCAGGACTAAAACAGGACTGAACCAGGACTAAACCAGGACAGAACCAGAACTAAACCAGAACTAAACCAGGACTAAAACAGGACTGAACCAGGACTGAGATTTGGGACGGGCCCAGAGGTGCGCCCGTGTAGACTGTCGGGTGATCAGGACTGAGACCGGGACCAGACCAGAATTCAGACGGGGACCAGAACGGGTCCAGACCAGGACTAAAACCGGGAGTGAGACCAGGACAGAGTCCGGTTTAGTCCTGGTTTAGACCTGGTTTCGTCTTAGTTCAGTCCTGATTTAGTCCTGGTTCAGCCCTGGTTTAGACCTCCTGGTTTAGTCCTAGTTCAGTCCTGGTGCAGTCCTGGTTTAGACCTGGTTTAGTGTTGGTTTAGTGTTGGTTTAGTCCTGATTTAGACCTGGTTTAGACCTGGTTTAGTGTTGGTTTAGTCCTGGTTTAGACCTGGTGTAGTCCTGGTTTAGACCTGGTTTAGTCCAGGTTTAGTCCTGGTTTAGACCTGGTTTAGTGTTGGTGTAGTCCTGGTTTAGACCTGGTTTAGTCCAGGTTTAGTCCTGGTTTAGACCTGGTTTAGTCCTGGTTTAGACCTCCTGGTGTAGTCCTGGTTTAGACCTGGTTTAGTCCAGGTTTAGTCCTGGTTTAGACCTGGTTTAGTCCTGTTTAGTCCAGGTTTAGTCCAGGTTTAGTCCTGGTTTAGACCTGGTTTAGTCCTGGTTTAGTCCCGGTTTAGCAGTGCAGCTCCTTTTTGTGTGTTTAAAAACATAAACTCGTCCACATGTTTTTAACAGTGCAGTTCTGTGTAATATCACATAGTACTTGAAACAGTTTTAAATGTTTTTAACACAAAGCTGCAAATATGCACAGTTGACACTAAAATTACCACAAAAAAAAAAAAAAAAGTAAAATAAATAAATCAATAAAAATTAAAAAAGACAAGGAACAGTAGAAAATGCTGTAAAAAACAAAACAAAAACACGTAGAGTTTAGTTCCACGTTGCACTTTTGCTTCTTTACTCGTACATGCAATTTTATGGTTAATTCACAAACCAGTCTCACATTTTGCGGCGAGGGGAGTATTTTATTTGCTTTATGAATCACATGTTTTCATAATAAAAATATGAACCTCAACAAACGCCATCTGTGAATAAAAGAACACGACTTTCACCACTTTGTTTTCATTCACAGCTTTTTTTTTACCGCAGTTCGAGCTGATTTCTTTGTATTTTGTTTAAATTAAAGCTGCACTATGTAACTTTTCCTGCTTGTGTCCGTGAAAATTCATCATCTTGCTTTACCGAAAACGTGTCCTGTAGTTAGTTATAGGTCAGATCTGTGGAGAGGAGCACCAACCGACAGTAAGAATGCATGATTTTAATGTTATTGGTATAATAAAACACAACTGAATTAATGCTAAATAGAAGAAGTTTAAGTAGTCTGATTCATCGGCAGGTTTCACTTCGTAGAAACCGTCTGACCTCACAGCGTTAGGATTCGTTCACTCGACTGTAGGCGGGAACTTTTTTTATTTAACCAATCGTTGATATGTAATGTTCCACTAACAGGTGTATTAAGCTTTTCCCAAATCCCGTAGGAAGAAGGACAATAACGTCTTTCCCCCTTGATAAAATTCACCAAACATTCTCTTTGTTCCGGCTTTAAATCCTCGATCTTTCACTCTTCACTGATTGGCTGGTGCCTGAACTTGCACTTCTGGGGTTTTGGTGAGTTGTCTAGTGTATTCTGATTCCTGACCTAGTCGCTGGAAAGAAAGTCCTGTTTTAGTCCTGGTTTAGACCTGTTTTAGTCCTGTTTTAGTCCTGGTTTAGACCTGGTTTAGACCTGGTTTAGTCCTGGTTTAGACCTGGTTTAGTTCTGGTTTAGTCCTGGTTTAGTCCTCTTTTAGTCCTGGTTTAGTCCTGGTTTAGACCTGGTTTAGTCCTGGTTTAGTCCTGTTTTAGTCCTGGTTTAGTCCTGGTTTAGTCCTGTTTTAGTCCTGGTTTAGTCCTGGTTTTAGACCTGTTTTAGTCCTGTTTTAGTCCTGGTTTAGTCCTAGTTTAGACCTGGTTTAGTCCTGGTTTAGTCCTGGTTTTAGTCCTGGTTTAGTCCTGGTTTAGTCCTGTTTTAGTCCTGGTTTAGTCCTGGTTTAGTCTTTAGTCCTGGTTTTAGTCCTGGTTTAGTCCTGGTTTTAGTCCTGTTTTCCTGGTTTAGTCCTGGTTTAGTTTTTAGACCTGGTTTAGTCTTGGTTTAGACCTGTTTTAGTCCTGTTTTAGTCCTGGTTTAGTCCTGTTTTAGTCCTGGTTCAGTCCTGGTTCAGACCTGGTTTAGACCTGTTTTAGTCCTGTTTTAGTCCTGGTTTAGTCTTAGTTTAGTCCTGTTTTAGTCCTGTTTCAGTCCTGTTTTAGTCTTGTTTTAGTCCTGGTTTAGTCTTGGTTTAGTCCTGTTTAGTCCTGGTTTAGTCCTGGTTTAGTCTTAGTTTAGTCCTGTTTTAGTCCTGTTTCAGTCCTGTTTTAGTCCTGGTTTAGTCTTGTTTTAGTCCTGGTTTAGTCCTGTTTTAGTCCTTTAGTCTTGGTTCAGTCCTGGTTTAGTCCTGTTTTAGTCTTGTTTTAGTCCCGGTTTAGACCTGTTTTAGTCCTGGGTTAGTCCTGTTTTAGTCCTGTTTTAGTCCTGGTTTAGTCCTGTTTTAGTTCTGGTTTAGATCTGGTTTAGTCCTGTTTTAGTCTTGGTTTAGATCTCGTTTATTCCTGTTTTAGACCTGGTTTTTGAAAAATTCTGCTTCCATAGACTGTTTAATAACGAAGGGCTTATGTGTGTGTGTGTGTGTGTGTGTGTGTGTGTGTGTGTGTGTGTGTGTGTGTGTGTATGTGTGTGTGTGTGTGTGTGTGTGTGTGTGTGTGTGTGTGTGTGTGTGTGTGTGTGTGTGTGTGTGTGTGTGTGTGTGTGTGTGTGTGTGTGTGTGTGTGTGTGTGTGTGTGTGTGTGTGTGTGTGTGTGTGTGTGTGTGTGTGTGTGTGTGTGTGTGTGTGTGTGTGTGTGTGTGTGTGTGTGTGTGTGTGTGTGTGTGTGTGTGTGTGTGTGTCGTGTGTGTGTGTGTGTGTGTGTGTGTGTGTGTGTGTGTGTGTGTGTGTGTGTCGTGCTGACAGTGTGAGGAGATAAGTGTCGTACAAACAGGAGGTTAAACTCTCCTGATGCGTTGTGTAACATTATGAGGAGATGATGTAACCACGGCGATAAGGACACGTCTGATATAATGTGGAGTTTTTTCTGCGTTCGTGAACCTCGTCCACTTGTTCGAGTCGTACGCGGTGACGTTTCATCCAGACAATAAACTGATGCTCTGATGTAATTCTGGGTTTTTTTTCTTGGTGCTGAAAATGTCTTAAAATATAGGAGAATGTTCCGCACTAGAGCTTTAACTTTCTGTGGATTACACATGGGGGTGACCATCAAGAGAGATCTGAATCAGGACTAAACCAGGACTGGACCAAGACTAAACTAAGACTAAACCAAGACTAAACCAGGACTAAACCAGAACTAAACCAGAACTAAACTAAACCAAGTCTAACCCAAGACTAAACCAAGACTAAACCAGAACTAAACCAAGACTAAACCAAGACTAAACTCTGACTAAACCAGGACTAAAACAAAGACTAACCCAAGACTAAACCAAGACTAAACCAGGACTAAACCAAGACTAAACCAGAACTAAACCAAGACTAAACCAGGACTAAACCAGAACTAAACCAGAACTAAACCAAGACTAACCGAAGGCTAAAGCAGGACTAACCCAAGACTAAACCAGGACTAAACCAGAACTAAACCAAGACTAACCCAAGACTAAACCAAGACTAAACCAGGACTAAACCAGAACTAAACCAAGACTAAACCAGAACTAAACCAAGACTAAAACTAAACCAGGACTAAACTAGAACTAAACCAGAACTAAACCAAGACTAACCGAAGGCTAAAGCAGGACTAAACCAAGACTAACCCAAGACTAACCCAAGACTAAACCAGGACTGAACCAGAACTAAACCAAGACTAACCCAAGACTAAACCAAATCTAAACCAAAACTAAACCAGATTTAAACCAAAACTAAAACAGGACTAAACCAAGGTTGAAACCAAGACTGAACCAGGATTAAAACTAGACCTAAACTAGGACTAAACCAGGACTAAAACCAAGACTAACTCAGGACTAAATTGAAACTAAACCAGAAAAAATCCAAGACTAAACTAAGCCTAAAAAAGGACTAAACCAAGACTAAACTAAAACTAAGAAAGGACTAAACCAGGACTAAACCAAGACTAACAAAAGACTAAACTAAAACTAAACCAGGGCTAAAGCAGGACTGAACCAAGACTAAACAAAGACTAAACCAGGTTTAACATGGGACTAGGTATAATCTGAAACAGGTCTAACTCAGATCTGATTAAGGTTAGGACGAAACCAGATCTAAACCAGGACTAAACCAAGACTAAAACCAAAACTGAACCAGCATTAAACCAAGACTAACCCAAGACTAAACTAAAACTAAACCAGGACTAAACCAAGACTAACCCAAGACTAAACCAAAACTAAACCAGGACAAAAACCAAGACTGAACCAGGACTAAAATCAAGACTAAACTAAAACAGGACTAAACCAGAACTACACCAAGACTAAAACTAAAACTAAACCAGGACTAAACCAAGACTAACCCAAGACTAAACCAAAACTAAACCAGGACAAAAAACAAGACTGAACCAGGACTACACCAAGACTAAAACTAAAACTAAACCAGGACTAAGACAAGACTAAATCAGGACTAAACCAAGACTAACCCGAGACTAAACTAAAACTAAACCAGAACTAAATCAAGACTGAACTAAAACTACAACAGGACTAAACCAAGACTGAACTAAGACTAAAACGACTAAACCAGGACTAAAACCAAGGCTAAATTAAGACTAAACTATGACTAAACCAGAACTAAACCAGGTTTGATATAATCTGAAACAGGTCTAACTAAAATCTGACTAAGATTAGGATTAAACCAGATCTAAACCAGGTCTAAACGAGGACTAAACCAGGTCTGGTCACATACGTATGAACCCTGATCTATAAAACAATATGAATGATAAAAAATGAAGGTTTTGGTTTCGTTCTGGCATCATTAAGTGTAATATTTTAGTTTTATTGACACGTTTCTGAAATAAAATCTCACTTGTTCCATGAGTCTGGGTGACGGCCGCCGCTCCGACCAAACCTCCCCCAGAGTCGGTGCTCGTCTCTGGGGCCGTGGGTCGGACTTTCCTCGATGCTCTGGACGTGGGAGACGCCGTTGGACTCGACGTTTCTCTGATCATTTTACTCGTCGTAGAAGCCGCTGTTGTGTCTCTGGTCGTGGTTTTCGTCGTGGTGGGTCTCGTAGTCCTGGCCGAGTCCAAGTCCGGGTCTATAACCAGATCCGGGAGGTCGGTGGACTCCAGGGTTTCTCTCTTATTGCAGGATTCGCAGCAGAGTTTATTGTAGCCGGGGATGGAGCAGTACTGAGCCAGGACTTCCATCTGACAGAAGATGGATTTGTCTCGTAAACACGGCTCGTCTGCGGAAAATAAAGAAGATATATTAAATCACAAGTGAGCGTTAAAGGTGCAGTGTGTAACTTTTCTGGTGGAGGGTCCGTCAAATGGTTTTCTACGTGTTTATCTTCGTGGAGACCAGACCGAAACCAGGATTAAATAAAAACAAAACCAGGACTAAACCAGGACAAAACCAGGATTAAATAAATACAAAACCATGTCTAGACCAAGAAAGAAACTAGTGCAAACCAGGTCTAACCCAGAACTAAACCAGGTCTAACCCAGGACTAAACCAGGTCTAACCCAGGACTAAACCAGGACTAAACCAGGACTAAACCAAGACAAAATCAGGACTAAACCAGGTATAACCCGGGACAAAACTAGGATTAAATAAGGACTAACCCAGGACAAAACCAGGACTAAACCAGGACTAAACCAGGAATAAATAAGGACAAAACCAGAACTAAACCAAGAAAAAAACTAGTCTAAACCAGGTCTGGTTTAAACCAGGTTGAAACCAGGTCTAAAACAGGACTAACCCAGGACTAAACCAGGACAAAACCAGGACTAAACCAGGACTAAACCAGGAATAAATAAGGACAAAACCAGAACTAAACCAAGAAAAAAACTAGTGTAAACCAGGTCTAAACCAGGTTGAAACCAGGTCTAAACCAGGTCTAACCCAGGACAAAACCAGGACTAAACCAGGATTAAATAAGGACAAAACCAGAACTAAACCAAGAAAAAAACTAGTGTAAACCAGGTCTAAACCAGGTCTAAACCAGGTCTAAACCAGGTCTAAACCAGGACTAAACCAGGAGA